CATTACAATGAAGTGCAACAGTTTTGAAAGTGAAATGTAAAAGTTTCATTAACTCACAAGCGACATTCAGCAAGTGTGCTGATAAATAAGAAGAGAATACGAAACCCATACATCCAATCTGCATTAAGCAAGGGCGTGAGCACTGATTTGACGACTTCACACAAATTTTGTAGCCTGAAAAAGGATTTCAGAGGCTGTTCCTTTGTGATCGAGGTCCACTCCGACACAGAGACTCTGTTTGAGCAGCCCTGCCCTTGACATTGACAAGCAGCTGCAGGCTCATTAACCAGATGGAAGGATGACTCTTATAGCACAGTGCTCACAGCTCTTATCGACACAATGACTGCCTCTGTTTGCGATGATGAATAACTCGACATTCACAGACTGCTGCTGCTGATACAGTGAAGTCTGAGGATGTCTGAAACATTGTTAACACTGAGTACGAGTCAGTCAGTCAGGACTTGCAGGCAATATACGACACATTTCTCTCTCCTGCTGAAAAGAGGTTAATAAACCTGACAAGTATATCCTCTATCACTATCTCACCAAAAAACTTCCCATGCTAAATTGGGCTTGAATGACCTTTACTTTATTCTTAGGCAATGCATTTAAGGCTTTTTTTTTGCAATCTGATTGTCACACATATTCTATTACAATCTCAATGTGATAAATTGTGGAGCCCTACTGTAAATGGGGTGCAGCTTGCATACAAAAAGAGGCCAACTTCCATGTGGACTGCAAATGATGTTGACTTGAATTGCAATGATTTGATCCTGTCAGTATTGAAAGCTAATATATAGGCTATATTGAGTATTTTCAAGAAGAAATCAACATATATTCTCTTGTAAAGAAAAAAATGGCAAACAAATTCAGACATTTTTTTTTAAATAACTCAAAAATATCATTTTCATTATCTGCCTCAAAAAGAGCGATGAAAACAAGCAATGAAAGAGCAATGGGAAACCTGTTAAGAGTTACATCACTGACACAATGGTCCAGACTGCTTCAGTCACACTTATCTCCTTCCCAACTCTCACAGTGGACACCTTGGGAATTCCAACTATATCAGCCATATCAATATCTTCATTGGTTTGCACATGAAAAGGTATAATTACAAAGTCTTTACGGCAGAGGTGACGGAAAACTAAGTGTACTTCATATTCAGCAGCCTAACTTTGTTGAAGTCGACCACGCATACTGAATCACTGCCGGTGACGCCCATCGGTAAGAGAAGATAGCTGCCGGGACAATAAAAAAGCTTTTCGGTCAAGAGTAGAATTGGTATCTGATTTCGAAGCCTCCTTTCTTGATTCAGTGATTTAACCATTTAACCCGTTGTTTGGTCAAATATATCATCCATAACAAAGGTTTAGCGACAAGAACAATGGTATTATGTGGCTGCTGACGAGAACCACTGTTGACCTAAAAAAAAAAAAAAAAAAAAAAAAAAAAAAAAAAGTAGAAAAAGTAAACGTGATGTCAGACCTCATTAAAATGGCATATTTAAGTGAGTTTGTCCTGGCTGACATACAATTAAAAAACACTTTACACTCGTAGTTTTTTTAGTTTAACGTTGACGTCTGTTCAGAGATAAAACAATGGAGTCCCGTCCAATTGATACAGTTTTGCTCCCAAACTTACCACAACAGCAGTCACCGGCTGTCCTGGGATGAAAGACATTGTGTCGTCGGGGTTTTAGGCTAAAAATCGTGGAAATTTGCAACAACTTTTGTTAAAGTCAAAGGGGGGAGAAAAAAAGGGCTACAGACGGAGGCACAACGTCCTGGACGCTACATGAGTAACACAGCTTGCTCCCTTTCTCGAAACCAAATGCTTCCCAGATGACGTCACTGCACTCTTGTCCGAGCTTATCGTTTCTGTCTGTTGTGCAGCACGGGGTAGTCCGGGAGGGCGGTGTTCAATGGTTGGCTGTGAACCTATGCGAACAAGTCAAACTCTGAAATGGATTATTGGCCCTCCTTGTTGTCCCAGGACATGACTGTGTACTTTTCTTAAAAAGAATTCGAAAATAGGGACCTAATTTATATTATAACACGGAAGAGAATTATAGGGACACTGAGTTAGGCAAGGCCCATTTATGTTTTTAGTTCCGACTTTTTCTCTCAGAATTCTGACTTCAAATAGCCTACTTAAATGTTAATGAAATGTCAGAGGCAGTTCTGCTTGAGTAGAGCTCTGTGGTTTGCAGTGTTCAACTTAAGGTAAAGTCACTCAGGCAGTGATATTGTAAATTTAGTTTGAAATGTTTCTAATTACTTGAGCCATTTATAAACCACCAGCCTGGGCATCATAATGGGACAGACTACTCAGGGCCCCTTTGATGGAAGGGGCTATTGCATGTTGAAAATCTATAATAAACATAATCCACATATTTTGGGTAAACCTTTGCTTTTCATATTTATTGGTTCTACTGCAGACCGAGTGAGTAGATTACTTACTTTGACATCTGAGAGAAAGGCGTCATCCATCCTTCTGGTCACTCTGGTCTGGAGTAAATGAGTCTTCTCTTGATGTCGAGTCTTATGTCTCCTCGCTTGCATGTAATAAAACAGAAGAAGTAAATAATAGTGGCTTGTGAATACTTTTTAAATTAATTACAAGTACAATTTGATTTGATAATGTATGAGGCTGATCCTTCTAAATGTTTAGATTTATTACCTTAACTTTTCTTGTACAACCAACTTCACCTAACATTGAAAACATGAGAGAGCAAGAGTGTGAGTAAAATATCAGATTTGTGAATTATGCTAAGTGGGATAAGGATTAACTGAACATTTAGTCAGAAATTATTAATTTGTCTTTATCTGCAATAACCATCGACACCTTTTTGATGATAAAGAGTAAGTAGGAATAATAATGTCGGAATGACTGAACAAGTGATGTGAAAAGAAAGCGATTTTTATGGTGGATATCATTTGTTTTAAATCAAATAAATTTTTATTTGTCATTAATGTGAGAGGAGTTTTATCACTTTTAAGTCTCTTCTCTTCTCCCCTCAGAAGAAAAAAATGTTCAAAAGGAATTTGGGAATGAATGCATTAAAAACTGAACTTCATGTAATAGTCCAAGATTCATTGGAACATGAGAGAGTTCACACTTTGAATCCCACCATCAGAAACAGGTGAACATTTTCTGCAGTATGAATTGTGATAAAAAGATTAAAATATTTGTATTTAGCCTTTAAATGGGAGCGTTCACACAAATGTCCCTCCATCCTCCTCACTTCTCTCTAAGACTAAATACCACAGCAGTTAAAACAGCGAAAGGTTTAACAGATAACCGATAATTGAACTTCATAAGTTCTGGTTGTAATAGAAGAATAAAATGATTTTTGCTTTTTAACATTTAAGTTCACACCCATACACCACGTTTCAAGGGCAAATATTAATGCTCCTGTGAGAAACTTTTATTTGTGAGGATTTTGGTGCTGTCTGTGGACAAAACATTACATCATTGCTTTGCTGATCCTGTCCTGTACATGTATGTGTTCTCTCTTCGTCTGAAACCTACCCAATGGTAGTGATTTTACTACATAAATTTCAATCTTGTTGCTTTTGTACGACATACAGAGGAATTGGTATTAGTTTGATGTCTTTCATGAGAAGCTAAAAACTCCTCACAGAACTGTAATGTTTACATTCAATTTTTTATCATTTGTTGTTGGTAGGCAAATGATATTACTTTGCATATTTAAAAACAGATGAGATGGGGTGAAATGTTAGTCACTTCCTTTAGCAAAAAAGGAAAAGCATACTTGTTATTGCATACTTTCCACCCTATTTGAAGCACCTGGTATGGTGTACTGCCACTTTGATAGTCTATTATGAGATAAGGCTTTTCCTTAAGTTTGGTAACAAGAGTTCTTAACTTCCATGCAGCATAATAACCGGCTTAACAATTTGAAATACATGTTTTTATGTCTAAAATATCTAAAATATGTCTAAAATATGAACAATAACTAAAATCGTCTTTCTGTCTGTGTTAGTAATGGTACAAGATGATTCACAGTGAGACAGGTCTTTGATAGAAGGTGACTTCCATGTCAGATAGGTTCCTCACAGCCTACGACCCACAGAAGAAGCATGAGCAGATGAGCAGAACCTCACAGAGGCTGATACAGGTGTTTTTTGAAGAGTGACTAGGGGAGAAAAGGGCATGATGGAAATTCATAGTTTGAGTAAATACTAGGATATATATAGTGTCTCTTTTAGCTATTATTACACATTTGCATTGAGCATTGTATCAGCAGTAAACTGGTAGTATTTTTGAATGGTCGTGCATCCAGCCTTCATTTCCACCTGAGACTGGAAAGTTCTGTATTTCTAAGTCTGAAAAGGAGCTTCCAGTGACGCAAATATCGTCATATTGCGTCACTGGAAGCTGTTGCGGTTAGTGGTGTGAAACTACGATGCTAGTTCCTCATATTTTCGACCACTGAAGCTACAGACCAATCACAGATCAGTGGGTGGGAACTCATTCCCAGAATCGAAACTTAACGTCCGCCATATTGCTTGGAAGCTATGTTAACAGGCTCTATGGAGAAAGCTGATAATGGCGAGCAAAGAGCAGTTGCCGGCTCGAGCTGGGGCGGACTGGTAGTGTCGGTGCTCTCACTGTTTGCCTATGGACACAGACATAGAGTCTGATTTCTGACAGGAATTTCCAAGATCAATTCTGGAAGAAATCTCGGAATCTGTTGAGGAAACGGCCGTATGTATTGAAGTAAATATGTCTGTAAATGTTTTTATTACTATATTTCTACTGCTATATTGTATATTTTGGAGAAACTGTAACGATTGAATTTCCCTCTGGGATTAATATTTCTGATTCTGATTCTGAAATTGAGGACCTTAGTGGGAGTGCCCTGCGGTGCTGTGCATTCTGGGATTCTGTATCTTTCATCCACATGAGCCAAAAAGACACTTTCTGCCTTTTCTCGGCCAAGGCACCAACTTCAAAATTTACAATGTCAATACAGATTCATGTTTCAATGGGTGAAGTATCCCTTTAAGGCATGTTACAAAAAAGATTCTTAGCAGTACTTACTTACACAGTTCTAGACCTGCAAGTGAAACATAATCAATATTACATGTTTAAGGTGCATTAAAATCATCCTATTTTTAAGAGAAAAATAAATGACTTATTTGATACAAAAACTATATCTTTTCATAAATATCTTTTCTGTGTCCAAAAACGATTTGACTCACATGCATGTTTTTTACTTGTGGTAAAAGTTTCTAAAGTATCTGCACTCTTCACTTTACTTTGCATATACACATTTACATATGAGACTGAAGCCTACAACTCATGTATTCAAAGCAGCTGACATGACCTCCACATATCTGTTTTACATGCTGCGTCTAAAACTACCGCCTTCAGTCTTTAAAACTTTATTACAGCATCACATAAAAATAGTAAAACTTTCAATTAAAATGTATGGTATTTATTTTACCTTAGACAAACATCTAGGTAATAAAACAAGATTTTGAATGTTCTGTTGATCCCACTTGGGGCTGGATTTTTTATTTTTTGCCTTTTCTTGGCTGTAGTCTACAATTCTACAATTCACTTAGCAGATGCTTTTATCCAAAGCGACGTACATCAGAGAGTAAGTACAACACAAGCAAGGATCTAGAAAAAAGGGAACAATGTCAGTAAGAGCAAACGATCAGCTTTGAGTCCAATTGGACACACAGGTGCTGACAGGCATTGCACAGAGGCAAAGTTCAGTTGTGTTAATCAAAAAATCCCTCGATCAATCCATCTGTGCTCTTATTTAAGAAAGCGGTTTGATATTAAAAGCCTGGGGCAAAAGGTGGAGGTTGTCTGTACTCCTGAGGTAACTCTCCACCCGTCAGTGTCATATCAGGGCAGGTGTGGGAAAATGTTGGACTGTTGAAGCTCTGCTCCCCTGGGATCTCCTGGTACTCACTCTCAGTGTTTCCTCTCCTCTCAGTTTCCTCTTTGTTCATTTCTGTGTTCATTAACTCCTGTGACAGGCTCCTCTTCTTTTGGAATTTTTTCTTGAAGTTCTTTAGGTTTGTGACCACTGACGGCTTTGTTTGCTGGTTCCTCTGGGTGCTGGATGGATGATCAGTGACTGTGTGTGTGGAGCGGCGGTCAGGGGCAGACACTGTTCTGGTACAGGCCGGGTTCTGCTTCAGAGGAAGAGAGCTCCTATGAGGAAGTTCAGGAGGCTGGTGGTTCCTGTTCATTGGCACAGGCTGGAGATCAAAAACACAAAGCAAAAAAAAATTTATGTTTAAAAAAAAGAAAGAAGAACTTTTAACATAATTTTTCCCACGATATTAGTGCACAGTTTATACACCAGAAAATACCTGAAACTTTCTTATTTAATCAACTTTACCGTGGCTTGAAGAGGGAAGCTGATGTGTGGAAATTCTTCTTCCAATTGAGGGTAAAGTCTGTCCGTATTCGAGATTGCAGGGGTCTTCATGTTATTTGGCCGATTAGGAAGTGCAGGTGAGATTTTTTCTCCTGATTCTGGGAGAATTGTGTTGGCATGCAGGGAGTTGTTTGGCAGCAAACTCGCATTAGAGTTTGGATGTCTTTGGGGAAACAGTAGTTCTGCATAGTCGGTATTGTTATTTGAGCTCTATTATAAAATCATACAGAGAGAGAGAGAGAGAGACAGCAAGAGAGAAAATAACGTTTAATTTTTGCAAGGTGCACAGGTGGACAGCAAAAAAGTAAATTAAAAGAAAATTGTAGATATATTTGATATACCCCCCAGCCCTTGTATTGCATACTAACTAGATATTAGAGTTTACTTGACTAAGGTGTGTTTTTGTACGTATTTATGATTGAATTGTTTGGGTTATTATTCTCAATGAGTCCTGTACCTCTGTCTAAATATCAATACACTATACAAACCACTGAAATCTCAACTATTTTCAGGACTGAGACACCCACCCAGGTCTTTCATTCCATCTGCACACACTGTGTGTGTTTTTAATAATAAGTCTTTCCACAAGTGGAAGTGTACATACCTGGTATTATTCTGTTATTCTATTATTGTATTTTTTCTCCATTTATTTAACTGATGTACATATGTTTGATTTTTAACTTCTTGTTATTTTTTAATAATTATATTACTGTTTCCTGTTTTCGTGAGGTGTTATAATGAAAAAAATTCCCCCATGGGGGATCAACAAAGTTTATCTTTATCTTATCTTTAAATATTTCCATACCTGTCCACAAGCTACAGTCAGCACCTCACTGAAAGGCATGATGGGATTCCTTCGGTGAAAGTCCACCATGTCCTGCAGACAACGGTGACGTCTCGTCTCCCCTACTATGATGTAATGACCGTCCTCCAACGCGTCAATCATAAAATGTCTGCAGCGGTCCTCTGCGCTGGGTGCAAGAGAGAAAAAATAAGTATATATCAAGAACAATGAACAGGGCTGAACTGTGACCTGTTAACTGACAAAATACAGCTCCTCTAACCCTGCAAGCACTCACCGGAGTGAAAGCGTATAGCCAATCCTGCTCTCACTGACTCTGATGAGGAAGTAACCTGGAGGCTTGGACATCAGAAGCTCCTCTGCCGTCCTAGACAAAGAGTCCTTTATTCAGAGTTTTATCTGTAAATGCTGTGGCCATATTGATATTGATATTTTTAAAATTTTGAATAAGGGATTTTGCATGTGAACTGGAGCTGGAGGCGGTTTGGAAAATGTTTAACTTATCAAATAACTAAAATGTTGTTTTAAAAACTGTACACTGAAGTCTTGACAAAGTACACCATATCTAAAAATAATCCAAATAAATCATCCATTATACATGAATACGTGAATGTGTACACAGGGCGTGGAGGAAGCATAAATCTGTTAAAAGGACAATTCAGCTCCATGGTCTTGTTATAAGACTATACTTTGGAGATAATAAATCAATAAAATGGAGGAAAAGCTATATAATCCGTGTCATGTGCAAAGCTTAAAAACAATCACTGCATCACAGTATTGGTATCGCTATTCTATAAGATATTGAGAAATGTCTCCACTTTCTTCTCTGATGGCATACAGTGAAAGACTTTGTGGACTTACTTCCTGGAAATGATCCCATGAAACCATTCAGGGACTATACCGTTCCTGGTCAGAGACCCGAGCTGGGACTCAGTAAACCAGGTGAAAATGTCATGCTGCGCCTGTACGCATGGACTCCACTCCGTCATCCTGGGACACTTTCAATGAATCCTCTGTGGTGTCTGCTGGGAAACTCACTAGGCCTACAAATACATGTTTAAGTATTGATTAATTTCAGACAAAAGATTTGTGTACATACAGCACAAAGCTGACATGCAATTAAAACTACATGGAGATGTTTCAGCTGCCAGTGCCCTTGATAACAAGCATGTTGTATCTTAAAAGGCCAATACTTAAATATCACAGAGCAACATTGCATCAAATTTCCCCTTTTCATGCACGTTTTTCCTCTTTTGCTTACACATAATGTCTCTGAATATTAATCAGCTAAAGTTTGGTTGACTTTTAGATATACTTGGAACATTTTTGGGCAGTAAATTCTTTAGATAAACATTCTTCCTGAACATGATGGATTTTTTTGTTTTAAGTGGTATTTACATAATTTGAAATTTAGGGGTCAGGATTAGGGGCAGCTACGTCTCAATAGAAGGTACCCTATAAATTATATATTTTTTATTTATTTAGCTTATCACTATCTCATTTAATGCCCTGGGTTTAAATACATCATAATATAATCTCACTAAATATCCATGTCTGAATACTTAATTGTTTTGTTAAACCTTTTTTTTTGTAATGGGACTGCACTTTGAACTAGAAAATGTAGCCTCACCAGGAAATAGTACTGCTATTACCATTGGCTTCTGTTTGATTAAGTGTTGCCTGCTGTAACATTCTCTATATTTGCAAATGTCAACATTCAGTTAATAAAACTGAATCAAAGCACCTGAAAGGATTTTTGAAACTTATCAAAGCTTGTATTAAAGGGTTACTTACCCTGTCCGGCTGTTTCTGATAAAATGAAACTACACAGTTCACTCGTCTGATAACACCTCAAAGGGGGAGGAGGCAAAAATCCACACACGTTGAAAAAGCCATGATGAGATAGCCACACAAGACAGGATAAAGCTGATTATACCACAGGTGACAAATAATCCAACAGCCTAATGTATGATCATGATGAAGGTGAACTGACCGCATATAATGATGCTAAGGAGATGTAGTCTACATGAGGACTACATGAAGCCACAGGTGTGAGCACATGAGTGTTGGCTAAGAATCACAGACGTTAAAGAAGAGGTTTCAGTTTCTGATAGTTATTACTGAGATAAGACCACAGCCATGCCCTTTTCAGTTATTGCGTAATGTTACATTTGACACAGTTTAGAGTTTCAAGGTCAGAGGCCACATGGTGGGTTATAATTCAACATCTTTACTTTGAGGATCAATAAGAGATTATCTTATCCTAACTTAATAACGCGTCTAGTTGTCCAGCTATATTCAGTGCAGGTTCTTTCTTATATTACAGCACAACTAGACTGATCAATAGAAATTACTAGGGTATTTCCAGTTTGCTGCACCTACACTTATTTGAATATCAAAAAGATAAGATTTCACAAAATACCCAGGAAACCCATACAATTGAGTGCAGTCCAATATATTTGCATGAAAGAACTTTATTTATTAAGTTCAACTAGGATTTCTAAAAAAAACTTTTTTTTAATCTGGACAATGTTGGCTACCTTGACACAACCACTGATTAATGATCTAGGGTAGGGGTTCCCAAACTTTTCAGCTTGTTCCCCCCAAAATAAGAGTGCAAGGGACTGGGGACCCCCACTGTCTGGAGGTGGTTAAAGCATATAACACAGCACAGCCATGCACAGATAGCCTATCCAACACTGGGAAGAAAAAAGAGCAACACAAAACCATGTAACAAAAACCATGACATTTTTTATATAGTAATTCCTTGAAAGTTTTCTTTCCATGTAAATATTTGCAATGAGTGGAAACTTAATAGACACACAGGTGTGTACATCTCTGAAGAGCAGCAGACAGAAATTGTTGATGTCATGTGCAAACTAACCTTTGAAGTATTTTTACACATTAATCTAATTTTAATTGTACTTACTGATATGTTTTATTTAAAACTGAATTGCTTTAAGTATATTGTTTTACAATAATGGGTCAAATATGCAATTTTAAATGCTTTTATATTTTTATCAGTTATTTTGGAAGGCATCTTGTGACCACCATGAAGTCTTGATCCCCAATTTGGAAACCATGCACTGATCTAGGGAGCCCTTTAGAGACCAATATAAGGTTAACATAAACTTGATCACTTAAAATATCATTGCATGCCTAATATTTGCTAGCTAATAAAAACACAACTTACTGATAGGCTACTTGAAGCAGGTTCACTGTAATATTTGTGCATTAATGAAGAAAATAGCAAAACTGCTTCTCTGATCATAATTTAATAATATGACAGTAGTAAAATGTTATCAAGTGCATGTTTCTCGAACTTCCATTTGTTGATTTAGTTTAGTTGAAACCTAACAGACAGGAACTGGACAAAATAGACTTCATGGTCTTTAGCGTTGCTGTAATAAACTTTGTAATAAACCAATACAACAAACTGTCCAGACACTGCCTGAGATCCGCTCCAGTGAACATAAAGAATGAATATGGGAAGTTTTCCTCCCACATGATGACTTCCTAAGTGAAAAATAACAAAAGAGGTCAGACTATAAATTCATTGTTGCAAACAGTTTGTGAAGAGGAAGTAATGAGTTTAGGCGCAAATGTTTTTGTTGAGACTCTTTACAAAAAAGAGAAACTATGCAAACACAAATATACAAAGCACACACACACACAAACTGCACCATGCCTCTACATAACATGAAAACTTCTGTATCGAACATCTTTTGCTCATTTCCCTTATACTCAAGCAAAGTTTTTCTTTGCCTTGAAACCTTTCATGGAGCATTTTGTTTAATATGTTGATCAGACTGATAAAGAAAAAACTGAACCATGGGAGAGACCAGAAATCTAGAAGTGTCTGTGAACAACATTATTACTCCAGATGAATTGGAGACTGACATTTCTCAACATACCTGCTGCTCCAGAATCACTGACTTCTCCAGAGTATGGATCAGAAGTTTGCTGAATATCTGCATATTACAGACCAGAAACAAATGACTAGTGCTTTACAAAGCAGCAGATTCATTAAGAATTCAGAGCAAGCAAGACTTCTTCAGCAGAAGAATGTGTACACAATAGTCTTATTAAATCAATTATAAACTATCAAACACATTATACAATCAAAATATTTAATATAAAAATGCATCTTGAACCCCAGTACCTTGATAAAAAGTCTTGGTGTGGGGGATGTGGGGGTACTGTTTCACAGTAACCATGGTGTGGTGTAATATTGGACAAGTTTTAATTGTGCAATTAGGGGAACAACTAGTGTGGTTGTCAGAATACATCTGTGTTACAGCAATGTGTCTTGATGTGCAGAGAATTCTGTCAAACTTGATATCACCATTAACTGCAAAAAAACTGAGGCCATACCTGTGATGTAAAAAAATACTCAAGGGTTAAAGTGTAACCGTTCTGATATTGTTTTAAAAAAATGTAATACTCCATATAAATATCTAAATCTTAATAAAAGGCACAAATAAAATGTCATGATATTTCTTTAAGAATCTCATTTTTAATAAATCATCAAAAGTACAAATATCTACAAAAGGTGTAGATCAATAAGATTTATGAAGTACAATCATTGCAGATCTTATTTACAATTGCTGAATTATTTAATATTTTGCCCATAAAATGAAATACAAATTAAGTAAGAGAATGCTGAAGATTCACTGACGTTGAGCTGGAAATCTTTTACTTTTTTTGGTCTCCTATCAAAAGAACTTAGCAGACCACATTTAAGCCGTTTATAGCCATGATTTGGTTTCATCCAAGAGAGCTGGCTTGACCAAAAATGTTCTGAAATCAGCTAAAATGATTTGAATCCACAGGTTAACGTTTAGGCAGTTATCAATTCAATGACTCTTCAGCACCAGAAATGATTTGCATCACTGTAAAACGTCAGAGGTGATTAAAAAATAATAATAATCAACTTTCAGTTAATTTCCTATTCTTACACCTGAACAGTTCGACAGAGCCAATACTAATGAATTTGGAGTGACAGCAGAAAATAAAACAGCAAAGATTCTTTTGCACATCTCTGATCTCAAATATGTCATTAAGTCAAATGTGCAAAGCTTTCAAGGTTTTCTCTGCACCCAGAATGCATAGTACAGACGGCCATGACTGAGGACCAAGAAAGAGATCGGCGTATCAGGGGGAGGAGAGAAAAATGAGACGGTGCATCAATGGGGAAGAAAATGCATTAAAAACTAGAAATATCAGTTTAAGGGAATGTTGGGAACGGCAATGAAAACGCTCTCTGAATCATAGGCCCTTCAATATATGTTCATACTAAAAAGACAAGGTTTCAGTGCTCAGATGTTTTTAAGGATGCCCAGAAAGGGAACATGGAAAGCTTGTGCATGAATATTCTTTGCTATCAGTTAAGACTTGCAACAAATACAGTCAACAAATGTTAAGAAACATTTTTTTTACAGAAAGAACAAAGGAAAAGTGCATTAACAATAAGAACATTAAAGGGCACTTTGTCATTTTGGTGCTATGTTTTGTTTTTTGCTCCGTGAATACTGCTACAGCACAGCCCTTCTCCAAGGCCCAGGAAACAGTTGTGTGCATGTCCCTCCATTGGAACAGACAACCGGATCATGTGCGAATATATTAGACAATGAGCTGTGATTCCTTCTGTGCCTCTTCTCTGTCAACCCCCAGGTGTTAGGATTTGGTACTGCAATTCCACTGCAGAAGTGCAGCAAACAATTGTTTACCTCACAACAATAACATCTTTTGTATCCTAGGAACAGCGATACACAAAACGATGAGGTAAGACACTATAAAGGGAATCTGTGCCCTCCTTTTACAAGAACCATTTTTTACTTCAACCACTTAAATACTTAGGATAGAAAATAATCTGGCCCCCCTACATATTACATTGCACATCGAAGTTTTCAAAAGAGGAATGTTTCAGCCTGAGAAATTAGCAGAAAGGAAACAGTATAGAGGACAGAGGACATGTTAACCCCAATGTTGATATGTTGGGTAAAAAAATGTGGCTGGCACCAGTTTCAAAGCATATTATAATCAATCATATATACTTGTGTATTTAGATTGGATAGATAGAAGTGTAAAAATGTTCTATAATTTGAAATTAAGTCTGAAGTATAATTTGAGCTGCTTTTAGTGATAAAGATCCAATAAATATGATTTTTCCTTGTCACACTGACAACAACAGATAGCAGGTCGGCATCAACAGTTGTTGTGAGCAATGATGGTTTCATTGTTTCTAGGATCTCACCAGGAGTCAGTCTTTAAAAGTCAATAAAATCTAAGGAATTGAGTTGAAACTACCAAAATAACCGCAACAGAGAAATCAGATTGTGTCATGTGGCAGAAGCATCAGTTATTAGATTCATCGGTGTCATGGAAAGACTGGTAAAGCAAAGGAGTGCGAGGTTGTTCTTCCTACTAGATGAGCATGGGACAATCAGAAAAAGAACAAGGAAGACAAGAAATAAAGAGGCGATCAGGGTGTGCTCTGTCTGTCCAGTTCTGTCCAGTGGGGGGGACACAGTTAAGGCTCTGGTGGATGCTCCGGTCTCCTCACAGGAGCGTGCAGCGGAAGAAGCTGTTCTTCTTGGGCTGTTCTGTAATCTTTACTCCTTGATTGCTGCCCTGCGGGTTGTTGCCCTCCTACAATACACAAAGATGAGAGGAAAAAATAAAAACATGACACAACACAAAGTATAATGATTGAAAAAAAGTTCCCAGTCTTCAGCATTCTTACCAGCTTCTTGTCCATTTTTGCTTTGATGTCTCTAGCGAGCGTTAAGAAGGCCTGCAGACATTAAGAGGCAAACAATGGTTTGTGCAAGGCCGAATTTGTGATGAATTAACATCAGCAACCATAAAGAAAAACACATGATTATAATTAGCAAACATTGTGTTTTGAGAGTATAAAACTAAACTAACAAGCATTTACAAAAATACCCAATGGACATCTTTGCAGTCAGTACAGTGAATCATAACATGCTTTATTTTATTATAATATTGGACACTGGATCCTTTAGGAAGAATTATGACAATTAAAGATAAGGAAAAGTATTCAAAACATTTT